AAGTAAGACAATTATATCAGAGGACCAGAATTTGAAGTACTTCATGTGAAACAATGCACCAAAAATGAATTATGTAATTCCATGAGAGTGAAGATCATATCCAGTGAATTAGAATTGGTATGTCTAGAATCTTTGAACTTAACAAAGTAAAGCAGCTGATGCAACCAAGACTTTCTGAAGTTAAAGATGCTGTAAAGCCGATAACTTGAATCTGAACCATAATTTAGAGTCAGAATATCGTAACATTTGCCTTTGATAACATGTTGAATGAAAGACAATAATCTATCTATCTATCTGTTACGCTATAAAAGGTATGGTGAGTCTTTGTGAATGGCGGTTAACGGTGTGAGCAAGGGTTGATGTTAGTTTTTTGTGTTATCCTCCTCACCAATAAATCGAATAAATTGCATTGCATATCCTTTATAATTAATATGAATTATGCTAATAGATACAAAAATGAAGCATTCCCTTATGGTGAAATAAACAAAAAAAAGGGAAGAACTCATTTTATTTACAAAATATTCAAGTTTAAAGAATATTTCAAACATGAAATAAAATATAACAAATTGGTACCATTAATCTCCTATAAGTTCCACAAGTCTTGTTGCTTTTTGGATATAAGTACAATAAGTCTAGTACGTATGGATTGGTATTGAATAAGAACTGTTTGCTTAAGTGTTTACCTGTGCACAACATTCATGGCTCGAGGGTAATTTTCATACTAATTATCTTTCATTGACACAGTTTAGCACCACAAGAACAAAACAGGGAGCAGCAGCACATAAAGCAACCAAAAAAGCATTAAAAAAAAAAAAACAATAACTGACAATAGCTATCAAAAGACCATCGTCAAAATTACCTTAGATCGATGCTAGACTAAAGAGTCTAAAATGTACCATAGACCACTCAAGGACAAAACATCAAAACAACAGCTGCCCTTATTGTGAGTACCATTCAATGCAGAGACAAGGAAACCTCCTCTATTTACTTGAATTTTGTTCCTTATTGTCTTTTGTGGTGACTGCAAAGGAACTCAAGTAAGGGTCTTTCTTGTTGTGTCTATTGAGAGAAACTCAAATGATTCTTATATGTTTCATTATAGTTTTTCTTTTGTAATTTCATGTGAATTTGGTAAACAAGAATATATTTTCTAAAACATAATAGTTTAATACCACGTATGTCACACGTGACATTGCCCACTTGGGATCCTCGGTGACATGTTTTCTGTGCCAATCCAATGCCACCTATAGTATTGCGCCAAGTGTCCTGTTATTATTTACACTTTAATTTTCTAATAATTCAACTTGGTTTGGTTTAACACAAGTGTAAATAATAACAGGACACTTGGCGCAATATTATAGGTGGCATTGAATTGGCACAGAAAACATGTCACCGAGGATCCCAATTGGACATTGCCATCTAAATGTTATCTATAATTTGCTATTTTTAAAGCTAATCTTGATATTAATTTACGAAGAAACTATACAAATGATCAAAATCAGTTAAACTCCCTCCATATTATTGTCAATATCATGTTTTACATTTTTACCATCCCTAAATTAGAGTCATGCTACAAATTTTCCTTCCAACCTTTTCATCTTTACCCTCATAGGTGCATGTCACAGAAGTTACACAATTGCAAATCATACAAGAGTAAATTAGTTGATAATCAACCAAACACAAAAAGAAATAAATCAAATTTAGCTAAAAAAGAAACACTATAAGTCTTTTCTCGCTGTTCATTTTTAACTAGCTTGTTTCTTCCTTAGATATGCCAGTTGTATTTGGCTAATGCTTCCATATAACTCTAAGTCTAACATGGTATTTTTTGACCTTTTATGCATCTATTACCTTTTTTCTTCTTTTTTTATTCTGATCCAATTGTTTCTCATTGAAAAATTGGGTATTGATTGATCTAGTTTTATTTTTGGATGCATTGGAGAGCCTCCAAGCTCTTCACATTGAAACTAAACAGGTGTTGCCACCCCCATTATATAATCCTGGTCCTTGACTCGAGCTTTCCTTGGCCAAACAATCTGCACTCATGTTCCCTTCTCTCCAGGCATCAGTAAACTTTTATTTTTCTTGAGGGAGGGCAATATATAAGTCTTGTAGTCTGAGTGGGCGAAAAATATTATAATATAACTAGTTTAAGACACCACAATATTATTTATATCATAAAAAAGAGGTTTCTAAAAATTTGAGGGGATGCAATTGCCCACCCTCATGAGTATGTAGCTTAATATTGGAAAGTAAGCAAAGAAGGAGAGGTAGCAGTAAGTAGGTATACATCTAAGAGGTAAAATTCGAAATACTTATGAAAAAAAAAAGACATTTGATCATTAGGGTTTTGATATCCACCTCCACCTATGGTATTCCATGTGAATTGTGATAAGGACCTGGTGGATATAAGAGAAAAAAATAAAACTAGGGTTGAACTAAAGAAAAAATCAATTATACAACGATGAGGTACCTTCTTTGAGACTGGTTTGCTTGAAGTGTTTACCTGTGCCCTACATCCATGGCTTGAGGGTAATTTTCATACTAATTGTCTTTCATTGACACGGATTAGTACTAGAAGAGCAAAACATAGAGCAGCAGCACATAAAGCAACCAAACAAGCATTAATAGACCATCGTCAAAATTACCTAAGATTCATAAAATTCTTACAGTCACATGATACTAGACTCAGAGTCTAAAACATACCATAGACCAGTCCAGAAAAAAACATCAAAACTACAGCTGCCCCTGTTGGGAGTACCATTCACAGCGGAGATAAAGAAACCTATATTTACTTGAATTTTGTTCCTTGTTGAATCTTTTGTGATGACTGCAAAGGAACTCAAGTAAGAGTCAAGTGATTCTTATATGTTTCTTCATAGCTTTTCTTTTGTAATTTCATGTGAAATTTGTAAACAATAATATATTTACTAAAACATACTCCCTCCCTTTTTTTATAACTGACGTTTAAAAAATTTGCTCTAGTGTACTTTTATCTGTCGTTTTATTATCCCCATACAGTATTAATTATTTTTTTACAATTTTACCCTTTTATCTCTCTTTTCCAATACAGGGTTGTTAATTACTACTCTAGTTTGGTGGAAGTTAGTTTGCATTGCTTTTGACCTAGTAAAACAGCACCATTTAGTACTCTAGTGAGAAAAAACATGGGTGAATTGGACAATGAATGATGGTACAAAAGGAAAATAGTGTACAGATTTAAGCAATGAAAAACTTTTCTTAATTGGTGTGCAAAACCTTAAACGTCAGTTATAAAAAAAGGGAGGGAATACTAGTTTGATATCGCGTATGTCGCATGTAACGTTGCCATCTCTAATATTACTTGTAACTTGCTGCTTTAAAGGCTAATCTTGATATTAACTTACAAAGAAACTACACAAATGATCAAAATCAATTACACCCTCCGTGTTATTATTGTTAATGTCATGTTTCACTTTTTTACCATCCCCAATTGGAGTCATGCTACAATATTTCCTTTCAAACTTTTCATCTTTACCCTCAGAGTTGCATGTCACAGAAGTTACTAAACATTTTAGTAAGACCCACTATTAAGTACCCATTTGGAAAATCTAGTGGTGTGTACAAAACGACTTCTAATGGCAAGGCTTATGTTGGTTTGTAAAAAATGCATGTGTGGAGGATGGACCCTTGGATTTATTATAAAATAGAAAAAACAAACATTATCTGACTACGGGCGCAAATTTGGAAGCAAAATCTCGGTTGTCCATAATGATCTACTGTATATTAAAAATTTAAAAAAATCGTTCAAAACGTCTCTCACATTTTGCAAGATGATTTTTTTCGTCTCTCACTTTTAAAAGTGTAATATTACGTCCCTTATGAATTCACATGGATCAATTTTGGTCCCTACCTAGATTTTTTACTAATTTTTTGTTAGAATCCACCAAGTACCTTATACATGATCATTTATTAAGAGCAAAATTATCAAATCAAATTTTATATAATTCGATTCATAGTCCCTTATATTTTGCAAAATGAATTTTTTCGTCCCTAACATGTTACAAAATGAATTATTTCATCCTTCACATTTTATAAAATGAATTTTTCCATCCCTAATATTTTTCAAAATGAATTTTTTCATCTCTCATTGATCATGTGTATGAATAGTTTTTTTTTTCTCTTTAAATCCATATATATATATATATATATATATCTATTTGATTTCACCTGAACAGTATGAGTAACATGTAATATATCTTTATTTGATTTCACTAAAATAGGCCAATCGTAGTTGTATACATGCTATTCAACATATATATATATATATATATACGGGGGTTTAAAACTAACAATTTTGTTTTAAACCATACATATATCTAAATGATTTTACCATGTGAACCTATTCAATATTTGTAACATTTCTCTTTTGGTAATAATTTATTTATTGAGTTGTATAATAAGGTCATCTAATTAATGGATCCTAACTTAAATTCTATAGTTGTACTAACAAATTGCAGTTTAAATTTAAAATTTCTACTCGCCACTTTTAAAACCAATAGTTGAATTACTTGCCTTGTGATTGTATTAAAATTTGAAAGTGCTAATCAGTTACTTCTTTTTGTCATACTTTTCCTTTGTTTATTTTTTGTGTCCAAATTTAATTCGACATAAATACTCGATAATGTTTAGGATTAAATGTCTTCTTTGTTTTCAATTTTTGAGTAAAATGAAATGAATATGAGTGAACAATATGAATAGCATGTAATATATCTCTATTTGATTTCGTCAGGTGAAATCAAATAAAAATATATTACATGATATTCGAACTACTCAAGTGAATTTAAATAGATATATACATGTGTTTAAAAAAAATTATTCGCACACATGATCAATGAATGATGAAAAAATCCATTTTGAAAAATGTGAAGGACGAAAAATTCATTTTGTGAAATGTGAGGGACGAAAAATTTTATTTTGTGAAATGTGAGGGAATATGAATCGAATTATGTAAAATTTAATTTGACAATTTTGCCCATAAAAAATGATCACATGCAAGGCACATGGTGGATTCCGATAAAAAAACTAGTAGGAAATCTAGGTAGGGATCAAATTTGACCAATATGAATTTGTAAGGAATGTAAAATTACACTTTTAAAAATGAGGGATTAAAAAAGTCATTTTGTAAAATATGAGAAACGTTTTGAACGATTTTTCCTAAAAAATTGTAGTCTCAAGAAATGTCCTAAATTTGGGATAGAGGCAGCACATAATTGTTTTACTAACAGTGAAAGAATGGGGACAATTGACAAGAAGCTCCAAAACTTGGGCTGCGTGAAGAATTTCAAAACCTGAGGTGGGTATTTTCTTGTTATTAAACCAGCATGAAGCTATACCAGTTTGTTGGATAATTTGAAGTAGGCATGGCTTATTGAAAATGGAAATGGTGACCAAGTAATGATTTATGTGAGCACAGATTACTGAGCTACAATCTCCCAGACCTGATTGACCAAACATGATGACTGATGAGAAACAACCTCCTAGGAAGTGATTTGCATCAAAAATATATCACTGGGTCGATAAGAGTTATCCACAAAAAGATTGTAATGGCTTAGCTTCACTTTGCTCAGCTTGATGTTCAAGCCTCACTTCCATGTACTGTACTACTGCTGCCACATGAAGTAGAGATTCCCTGTCCAGGCTGCTAAGCCTTTAGGTGAGGGAGTATACCGCTCTTTGAAAACAATGAACTAACCAAACCACTGGAACCCTCACAGAAGACATTCAACTGGAGAAGGCATCCTTACTGGATGACAAATTAAGTTCAGGCCTCAAGTCCAATGAGAAGGATAATGGAGCCAGAGTACCTATTGAAGATCCAACAGCGTAAGGAGCAACAGGCACATCAGCAAGAGAAGATGCAGATGGACTATAGCTTAGAGACCCCATTGGGTGATCAAACATGCATGAACGCCCAAATTTGGATACTTCATTTTGTAAATAGTGATGACAAACAGCCAACACCCGGACGTAGAGGTAGACCCTTGAGGCTAAGGACAAGATTTGCCTTCTGTGCACTCCATTCAGGTTGGTGATGATATCTACAGAAAGGCCAAAATTTACGGTACCCAGTTTTCATATAATACTGGCATTCAGGTTGGCCAGGACTTTCTGAAACTGCATGCTCCTTGTGGATGCTACCTGAAGGACCTGCGGCAGGTGGAATAGATAGATACTGTCCTTATATGCTGGGTGTTGAAGGAGACAACTAGTTATTCCATAAACAGGACCAGCTCTCACTGCAGGTTGAGTACTTGCAGTGGCTGCAAAACTTCAGGCGCCAGGTAAAAGTCCAACCCAAAACAGGAACCATTCCTGCATGGGGGGATATGATTGCTCATAAAAGAAATCATGAGATGCCAATTTATTTGCCCTGTGAAGTACAATTTGGATTCGAAATTCAACTGAATTTTATTATTAATTGTTAGTTGCCCAATACTGTGAAATTCTCTGATGAGATTTAACAAAAATGTACAAAATCTCTTGAACCAAGTTTTAAAGTATTAATGCTATTGTTCATGCTTGTTTCATCTGGGAAAAACATCAGGTGTTTAAATAGTTTCTTATTTAAAATACTGTTCTTTGTAAAATGGAAGCTATGGAATATTTCTTCTACGTGCAATAAGCGTGCTTTCAAAAAAAATAATCTGAACACTAATTTAAAGTCATTTTGTCTGTTAATAATCAGTGAACTTGCATAGCTTATTTCATTTACGTTATGAGTATAATTCAGATCACTACATTGGCCAAATCACTTGACTTCATACATGTCTTTTTTATTCCCCCCTTTTTTGGTGGAAAGGTATGTGAAAATGTTCACAGAAAAGAGTTTGAATGCTTAGTTCCACAGATATTAATTGGAAATTGGTGGGTTTTCTTTGAACAGTTCTTTAAATTGGAAATGAATGATAGTTTTAGCTGAGGGGGCTATTTTTTGGATTTTGAAAGATGGCTTGGTTAAGTTCTGGTTTGATAATTGGGATCATACAGGTCCTTTATATAATACTGCATCAGTAATTGCAGATCATCGGGTAATAGACTTTGTTCGAGATGGAGTTTGGGATCAAAATCTGCTAAACCAGTCACTGCATTCGGTTGTGGTTAGTCAGGTTTCACAGATTTCTCCTCCCTCCTTTCACGCTAATGATGATATGGTTTGGTCTCTTTCATCTGCAGACAAGTTCTCCATGTCTTCGCCTTCACCTAGTGAGAAAAGCAAGGAAATCCTCCTTGGCGTTTGTGGGTATTTGGCCCTCGAGTATTCCTTTAAAGGTTTCTTTTTTCATCCTTCGGTGCTTATTTAATCGTTTGTCTGTGCTTGATACACTAAGTTTGGGATCCATGGTCAGTCTAAGTGTTGGTGTCGGGAAAATCCAGCTTTAGAGACTTTTGATCATGCATTTAGTGATAGGCAACTTGCTGCTTTAGTATGGAGTTTCTTTGAAGGTGTGGCTGGCATTTTGCCTTTGGGTTCTGCTAGTTAATTGGTGGTTGCAACCAACTACAAACCCTTCACAGGTTTTTATATATAGAGTAGTACTTATCTTCGTTTGCTAGCATTTATGGAAGGTGGGGAATGAGGCATTTTCTGAAGGGCGTTTCTCGACTCATCATCATCTTTGCTAACAAAATTTTAAGGGTGTTGCTAATCCATGTGCTCTCGAGTTCAAAGGAATTGGATTTGTCACTACATCTTGGGTGCAATTTTACCAGTCAGCCTCTTCTTTCAAGAAGAAACTTAGGCCGATTCCTGTGAGATGGATCAGTCCACCTGCTGCTGATTTTACACTTAACTCAGATGGTTTTTCAGAAGGTAATCCAGGACTTAAGGTGGCAGAGGGGTTGTTTAGAAGTTTCTTTTTTTTTTTTTATTGTTCAGAAGGTGATTCAGCACAATTTTCTTTTCCTTAGGAATCTCATTTTTGTCAACTTAAAAGAAACTTTTTCAGGGCCGCCTACATATCTATAATTCATCAAGTCATCGCTAACCCGATCTTCACTTCTTGATACTACTGCGGTTGATGATTCTTTCCTCTTGCTTCTTGCCTTTATAGTAACTATCTATTACGTGCATAGAACCAAATTTACAAGCACTTGAAATAAGAAAAACTAATGGACATTTTGAAAAGTACACTGAGACATTGTATTATATTGTATCCAACTTTAATCATTTCAACCGTATTACTATGCTTGTCAAGTCTCTTACAACTATTCTACCCAATGGAACAGTTTATCCTTTTCCATTAAAAGCGATCTTTTCAAGTTTTATAGGTTCTCTATAGCTCAATAGTATAAGGCTCGAAAAAAAATTCAATGTCACATACTTTGGACAACCTACAGCCTAATTTGAAAGAAGATCTTAAAGTCGTGAATGAGGAGTTTTTCGTTTTTGATTTCCTTCTATGGAAACAGAAAGAAAAATAGACTTGTATTGCTAAAGTTATAGAAACATATATTAATAGAGAACCAAAATCATGTGTCCAAATCGCTGAATGCATTCCAAGTGAAAGATTCATAAGACACCATAAGATGCTCGAAAGAAAACTGTTATTGAGAATATGGATGTGATTCTATAGCTTACAATTGAATGAAGAACGATGCAAATATTTAAGGATTCAAGAACTAAGAAACCGGCCCTACTTATAAACCCTTTAAGCCATTCAACAAATTATTGTTGTCACATCCTATGTTGTTCAAATAATATACCTTTACTATTTCACAAAGTTGTAAACTTCTGTCGAAATTTTATTTTACTGAAAGGTTTTCGAAATAAATGAAAGGAGAAATTCCTGAAAGGAATACACTAAGTTTCTATTTAATCGCAATGGATCTTCTGTCCCATACCCTGTGCCACTCTCTGTCTCACTTTTTATTATATTGTTATTTCTCCTACATAAATATCATGTTTTAGTTCTTTTTTGTTTCCTTAACATTTAATAACTATTAATTGAATAAAAAATAAATACAACAGGTTCAAAAAAGTAATATATAATAGAAAATTAAAAAATACAATAGAAAATTCATTAAAAATCTCCTTTTTTATGTATTTTATTTTTTGAGTTTGTTAAATTTTGTGTATTATTTAGTTAATAGTTATTGAATGTTAAGGAAACAAAAAAGAACTAAAACATGATATTTATGTAAGAAAAATAGCAATATAATAAAAGGTAGGTAGAGAGTGGCACAGGTTATGGGACAGAAAATCCGTTGCGCTATTTAATCAAGTTGGCAAAAGAATTTCTTTGGAATAATATTGCAAATTTCTATTGACGGACTCTCCCTCTCTCTCTTTCTGGCACTTTTTTTGGTTTTTTTTCTCTGCACAACTTTTCCCAAAATAAAAATATTGAGTGTTGCCTTCCAATCTCAAAGAAAAAAGAAAAATCAAAATTAAAAAGTAAGTGAATTTTTTTTGGATAAAAAGAAGTTTGGGTGAATTTAATTCTGATCACCACCATAGATCAGGATACACCTCCAGACTGTGTTTTCAAACTCGGACCGGACCGACCGGTCTAATCGATCGAACCGAAAACTGGCCAAGCGTCCAGTCCGAATTACCCAAAAATCGGATGCAATAAAACTCGGTCAAAAATTGGGTTTGACCGGCAAACGGATGAACCGGTTTGATATCAAAGGTCCGGTGGAACGCTGAAAGAAACTTGATGAGGTGTCAAGTTTCGGCTTTACATTTCTTCCAATTTGTACTAAAAGAAGTCTCCAACTTTCAAGTCGCCAACGGTGGGAATCGTAGTGGGCCCGATGGAAAGATATAATGGCGGCCTTCTTAATTGAAGTAGATACTTGACATTGGCATGAGTTGGAGACCTCAGCCTCAGTCCTGCCGCCCAATTTTTTTTTTAAAGATCAAAATATTTTCAATATTATGTTTTGGCCCCTATATTGTTAAAAATTATTAATATATTTCAAATATTTCATATTTTATAAATGTTATCCTAAAGTTCAGTGTTTATTTTTCAATTAAATCCATAATTTTAATTCTAAACTTGTTAATGTTCATTAAATAATCTAAAATGTGACTTGATCATTCTAATTTTTTTGTATTTTCTTGTTAAATATATTTGAAACATCAAATATATATGAATATATATATTTATTAATATTAACATGTTCTTAAGTATTTTACATATAATATTTTAATTTTTAAATAATTTTTATTTATGACATCATCCGGTTTAACTCCTATCAAATCCGATCGAACCTATTGACCCCTGCCTCCTGAATTCAACCAAGTCAATACCCGGTCCGAGTATGAAAACATAGCCTCCAGAACCATGGGTCGCTTATAAAAGTTCTACAAATCGTCTATTAACACAATTATTACATCGACAATAGATGTGTCCGGAACCATAAATGACTTATAAAAATTCTTACAAATCATTCATTAGCACAGTCCTTACATCCACACAAAATTTGACAACCTCTTGTGAAAAATTGACCCGTTCTTGTCAACTTGCGTTAACAAATGAATAGATACGTAGGCTGCACGAAAACAACATAGATAAAGTTAATTGACGTTATCACTTTGTGCAAGCTCATACTTATCTGATCTCTGACCAAGTGGAGCCCGCTCGTGTGAGCCTGGATAGTTTTTGGCCTTTAATCCAAAACGAGAATTTATAGCCCTTGTCCGGTGGTTCTGTCCCCATCGATCCCTTCATAGGCCCAGTTAGATCTCCCCCGCAATTAGATTAGAATAGAGTATGATAAAAAGTAGGGTTGACGATTGACAAAAAAAAAAAAAGAGAATTTATAGCCCTTGTCCCTTGCCACTTTGTGTTGAATTGGAAAACTCACTACAAGAAAATTGCGTTTCTGTGACAGGCAAAAGTCGTCACTAAAAATTCAGAAGTCGTCACAAAAAAAGTCAGTGACGACTTTTACTGCTGTCATAGAGCTGTCACTAGTTCTATGTCACAAAAGGGGGTCCATGTGACGACTGTTGAAAGTCGTCACAAACGATTTCGCTTTTGTGATGACTCTTGTCGTCACTCATTGTTGTACATTGTGTGACGACTTTTATTGTCACTAAGCTGGCTAAATTCTTGTCATAGTCAACCCTTGGAGTTGTCACATTATGCTTCCGTTCAGTGACGACTTTTGTTGTCATTGTTTTCCATCCATAAAAAGTGACGACTTTCTGGTGTCACTAGTGAAACTTGTTGGCAGTGACAACTTTTTTATTGTCATTTATTTTTTTGTAAAAAGCAATAATCTAATGTTAATTACGCAACATAGCTGCCAACAATCACAAAACGTTCATTGAGTGAGTAGCAAGGAGAAAAAAAAAGCCAACATACGAAAAGAAAGCCAACATTCATTTCGAATAGAAGATCAACCCAAATACATATATATATACTATGAGGCATGAACGCGCTTCGCGCGATGGAAATATAAAATGCCCTGTCCAGTTTTGAAGTAATAAAAATAACAATTTATTTAGAAAAGTATATTTTTTAGTATAGTTATTCCACAAGTTAAGTTTTGTTGATACTTTTTGGCCGTTTCTTTTTGGCCGTTTCTCACAAAGCCTCTAGTCAATGGCAACCGTCAACTTGCATTTTTTGCAAAACCATTTCTGGTGCAAAAATGGAACCAATGTAGTATATAATACATAGCAAGAAAAGAAAGAGCATCCCACGAGTTGGTTATTTACTCATTGAGAAACTTTTGTGGCCTATGATAGCAAACACAATTGGAGTTAAACAAGCCTATAATGTGGTCCAATAGACTACAATCTTAAGCATCCATTCAACACTATATCAAAGTTTCACGATGACAACTGTTTGAGGGGGCCTATACATAACATGAAATTATGAATCTCTTAAAGACTGTATTCACCTCTTCAGCCAGTGACAGGAACTTTTGAGACTCATCAGAAGCATAACCAGAAGAACCTAGAACTAACATTCCCGGAGCAAAACATGCTAAATCATCCATCTGCACATAATTTTGAAAGACAAATACTATAAATTAATAATTACTCCTCCACAAAACAATTAGGATATTTAATCTTGCAAGTTCACACGTCACCTTGTCAGTTAGGGAATTTCCAATCTTTTCACAGATATATGCAAAGGATGAAGGGGTAGTTCTCTTAACCAAGCTTGAAAGACCTTTCATTGATGTCTCCCACATTTCTCTGCTTGCAGATTCATGAGAAGAGTTACTTCTCCAGGATATTCTAAGTTTATCTCAAAGTGTGAAAAAGAACTTAAGATAGCAAAGTAAAGAAATCTACTCCATGCTCAACAACAATGCAATAAGCAATATGTACATTAAACTTCAATGTCATTAGTCTCTCGCTTTGAGCTCATAATACATTTTTCTAATCCCATATACGTGACGTTTCTTTTACCTATATTTTCTCAGGATAGCTGACACACTTTGATACAAGTCTATATATATATATATAGACACACACACACACACACAAACATTAAAATAGAAATGTGAATGCTTTGCAGAAAGTATGCCTTTTGGGAAAAGATCGATATATCTAAGGAAAGAAATGCCAATGTTTACCTGTAATGATTTACAGAAGCAGTTTTGTTTCCTTGTATCCACACCTTGAGTAAATACTCATAAAAGCTGCCAAAAGAAGAGCTTTTACCATTATTCAAATTACAAATAATACAAAGTAAAGAAAAGAAAAAAGTATATTTTCAAAGCCATGGAAATGAGATATACAGGAGGATAATTTTGAAGGGACCTAAATGAAAAACAAATGCTATCTATAGATTATGAGATAATTACAAAGCAAGCACTGCTAAGGAATGTAAACATATTGAATAGATTGTATCTGTCCCCCATAGCCCCAGAAGTGATGGTAGAATAGGATGTTGTGCCCCTCTGGGGATTAACATAGATGGGAAGCAAACCATCAGTAGGAAAGGTCCTGCTAAGAAATAAAATAACATTCTCCACCTGAAAGTAATGGATATGAATCATCAGCTGTCTGTCAGAAACTTATTGGGAAAAAAAGGTCTAT